CTATTATTTTAGCACAGATACTTCTTCCTGTGGCACTGTGTTTTTGGCTCCTTTTCTTTCTTTCTTTCTTTCTTTCTGTCTTTTTTTTCCTTTGGTAGATGTTACTATAAGAAAGAAACTCATCAAATTTATGATGGATTTGAATGTTTTGCCCAATTTAAAAGTTGTGAAATTAAAGGCCTCATTTTATTCTACTTGATACATTATAAGAACATGTCTAATGAAACACAGAGGCTCACTTAAAAGATTTTTCATGCCTAGATGCCACTTGAAATTCCATCTTTATTTCCTTAGTTCCTCTTCTGCTTTTACCATAATAAGTTCAATCCCCTTCTGTTTCAAGCCTTTAAAATGTCATCATTCACTAAAAGTTTGAAAAGTTGTGGGTTTTTATACTCTAGTGATAGAATGATTTAGTTAAAAGTTTCCAACTAAATTTGAACAAGAGTCTGGCAAAGTTTAGAAGACTCACTTTAAAAAACAACCTCCTCATTCTTATAGGCGTTTGAGATGAATTACAGAATAGTTTTCAAAGCTGAAAACATGTTAAAAATCCAGTTGATAAGTAGTAAAGAAAACATACCATCATGCTCTATGTGTGAGAGACAGTGAGAAAGCAAGGAGAGAGGAAAAGTGAGTGAGTGCGTGTGTGTGTGTGTGTAAGAGAGAGAGAGAGAGAGAGAGAGAGAGAGAGAGAATGTTCTGAGAGCTACTGCAGAGGCTAAGTCAGAAGCCCCACAAGTTCAAGGCCTGCCTAGCCTTTAGAGTGAGTTCAAGACCAGCCTGGGAGGCTAAGTGGGATTGTGTCTCATGAAAAAAAAGGAAAAGAAATATATGATGAGGTAGTCCATGCCTGCAATCCCAGTACTTGGGAGGGTGAGGCAGGAGAGTTGCTATGAGTTCAAGACCAGCCAGGGCTACATAGTGAAACCCCGTCTTAAAACAAAAACAAAAACAACAAATCAACAACAAAAGCCCCAGAGAGAATCAGCTCTGTAAAGAGAACGTGAAGCAGAAATGGCATCTGGCTATTCTGCTTCTTTCCAAAGTCTATACTATTTTAAAATAGTTTTAAATACTTTGCTTTCTGGACAAAGAGTCCAAACTCCAGAATAGAAATTTCACTTCACAAAAAATCAAGTCATGCTCCAGAAAAGAATAATACTGGTCAACCTCCCCCATCCCTATTTCAGAGCTTGACTGATTTATAGTTCTCAAGGGCCAAAGAAATGGCTTAGCCGTTAAGAACACTTGCTGCTCTTCCAGAGGACCCAAATTTAGTTCCTCCACCATGTTAGGCAGCTCATAATCACCTGTAGCTCCTGTTCCAGTGGATCTAACACCCTACTCTGGCCTCACATGGTGCACATACATATACTCAAGTACACAAACATACTAAGAGTGAATAAATCTTTTGTCAAAAAAAAAAAACCCAAAAAACAAAAACCCCCACCATTACTTTTCAGCTCTCCACACACATGGTTTATATGTCAAAATAAAGGATAAAATACAGGTTCCTGGGAGACTAGCTGACATCCTGACTATCTACTTAAAGCAGTTACAGTTTTTGTTATAATAATGTAATATTTAATAAGTTGCTAGGAATTACCTTGCAATTTATAAGAGAATTATTCAGAAACCCCTGTCTACTGTACAAACACAACTTGATACAGAGCAAAAACACTAATGTCCTTGCTGTGATATTTTTGGTACCTCATACTGGTTCAGGAACATGTGAAGTTGCTGTACACTGATTCTTAGATCTGTCTCATTGAATTCATAAGGAATATTCCATCCCAGGGGTCCAAACTTGCGTCTCTCTTGTACCAAAGCATGAAAGAAACAGAGGCCATAAAGCAATTTCTTGAATTCCTCCTGTAATGAAAAGAAATTATGCCATGCCATTATTTTTTCCCTTCACATGACATTAGACTTACTGTATTTTTAAATGAATGAAATTAAGTTCCTTGGGTTATAAATAGCATGAGGAGTAACTAAAAAAAAAAAAAAGTAAGTCTATTTCTTTAGGCTCTTCAGGCAAAAATATGCCCATCTATACACAAGTTCAGTACGCATAACTGTGTAGACTTTTTCTAGGAAACATGACAAGTCCATATAATTTAAATTTTACAGGATTTGAATTATGAATTTTATGGATAGTCCTAGACCATAGAGAAATTTCCAAGGAGATAATTTTGATCCAAATACGCAGCTCTAAAACCTACAGGGAGAATACTGAGTGATCAAAACAGAGCTTGGGATATAACTGTGAGTGACTTCCTCAGAAAAAGTAACCACTGTGCTGGGAATCTGCCTGCCCCACCACCATGGGAGAAGGCCTGGGGAAGTAGTTCTCCTTGGTGGGAAGAAATCAATGGCCACAGAGTTGACACATACTTGCTGCAGCTGGAGAGTCTGGAAAAATGCAAAATCCATGCCTGAAAAAGAGTGGTCTACTGCCACAGGGTAGAAGACCCCGAGAGAAAACACCACCTATACAACCAACCCAACAGTGGGCCCACTTGGTGAGAATCTAAGGAGAAAGGTACTGGGTGAAGAGGACTTGCACTGTGGGGTGAGGAAACCCCACAACAAGAGCCTGTCTCAAAGGCATGCTGGGGAGCCGGAAGCTGAGGGAGCTAGAGGCCATGTCTGAGGACAGGCACTACCAAGGGCAGTAGGGTCAGAGGAGGAGAACAGGTGAGAGAAAGGAAGGGGGAGGGAGAGAGAAGAGAGAGAGAGTCAGAGAGAGATAGAGGAAGACAGACAGGAGAGAGACAGAGAGAGAGACAGTCGGGGACGGGGATAGGAGGAGGAAGAAGAAAGGCAGAGAAGAACAGGAGCCTGGGAAGAGGGAGGGTGTCCTCTTAAACAAAGGCCCTGGCCAAAGAGTTCCAAGTACTATAATATCAGTTGATAGGAATGCTTGCTCCTTCCCAGAATGTAAAAATACTCCAAAGTGAATGACTAGTATCAACAGCTACTAAGTGCAGCAGGGGTTGTAGAAAGGGAGATGCCAACTCCATCTTCTTCCCCTGACACTAATATAGGTGAAGGTGAGACCCTTGAGGGTCTAAAGCCTCAATTTTGAATAATAATGAAGTAATAATTAATATATTGTATTATACGTCTTAATTTCTGATTCCAGCTGTCCTTTCAAAATAACTATAGAGTATTTTATTACATGGCAATATCCAGAAAAATTGCCTGGAGGTCTAAGTTTTATCCAAAAGCAGGGAGATATTTCCTTCCTAGAATAAATTTGGAAAAGAGAATGGGAAACAAGAGGAAAAGAATATAAATTTAACCAAAAGAAAATGAGAAAGAAAAGGAACATATTTTTGACAAAATAAAGGTAGCATAAATTTAAGTAAAGAAATTGAATTAACATGCTAGGATAATTCTGGAACTATTTTCTATATATTGAATAATTGATAAAACCAATAAATAATTGTTAGGAGCCAGATTCTCCATGTAAAAGAAAGAAAAACGGGGAATGAATATAAGCAAGAAAGAACCTTGGGAGGATGTAGTGAAGATGGAAGTCCTATACAGATTCATCACTTGTAGAGTATGTGCATGAGCATATATGTGCACATGTACTTGTTGGTAGGCATATGTGCTTATTTGTATACTTGTGTGCATCTATTTCCAAGTACTAATGAGCTCATCTAACATCTCAGTTGTGGTTTCCAATACCATTCACCATTCAAAGGAAGCAGGGCTCTTGACAAAAATGGGTCTCTCCATAGTGGGGTGAAGATAAGGAGAGGATGAGCCTGAATATTCTGTACTAGAAAGAGGTACTGATAATATAGAATTCCTAAATCTGGTGGGGCTGGAGAGATGGCTCAGTGGTTAAGAGAGCTGGCTGCTCTTGTAGAGGACCAAGGTTCACTTCCCAGAACCCACATGGCAGCTAACAACTATCTATAACTCCAGTTCCAGGGGAATCTGATGCCTTCTTCTGACCTCTGTGGGCACTGCATGACACCAGTGCATTTACACACATGCAGGCAATACACTCATACACATAAAATGAAAATAATATATAAAATAATTTGAAATTTTTCCTAAATCTGGGACCTGTGATACCCATAGAAGCAGGTTTGAAGGAGTTCCCAGTGATGATATTTGAACAATGTGTGCATAAAAAGTCTTAAGTATAGCAACGAGTTGCAAATCATTGAGAAGAATAACCAGCAATTCCTAATTCAACACCAATAACAGACAAATAAGGGGAAGAGAAGGAAGCACCACTTACAGTGGAACATCAAGTGTCGAATGTGCCTGGTGCTACAGTTGAGAAATAGCCACTGCACAGTCAACTGGGAGTTCATCAGGAAAGAACCAGCAATAGATGAGAAACGAGTGTTTCCACAGTCCTAACAGTTCTCCCACCCAATGCTTATTAGTTGAAAGGGAAAAAGCAGACATTAGACAGTGGAGAAATTAATACCTTTCTAGATGATCAATATCAGTATCATCCACTGATGGCACAGTTTCATCTACTTAGTATTTTGGCTAAGAATAAATAAGCTATATCTAGTTATTATAAAACATTAAACAGACCCCAAGTGAAGAAAGTTCTACTTAAAAAAAAAATGCAGTAGTTAGTAAATTTTTCAGAGATTCCAGTGTCATAAACAAGAAAGGGTAGGGAAATGATTTAGGTTAAAGAAGACAAAAGAGTTCTAGGCATATGTAAGCTCAGAAGTAGAACATCTACCCTGCATGTACAGACCCTGGGTTTGATCCACAGCACCACAGAGACAAAGCAAAAGTAGCTTAAAGGAGGTATGTAATATTGAGCCCCAGAGCAGTGCTCTCATGGACAGAAGAAGCAACTGTGTCAACTGACAATACTGAAGGACAAGTTATAGATTAGACATAATAGTTTGTTAAATTTACAAAAGGTAATGACTGTACTGTGGGTAAGATAATATTCCTATTTCTAACAAAAAAACATGCACACAAATGTATCCAACTTGTAGCCTACAGGCCATATGCACCCCGGGATAGCTATGAATGTGGCCCAGTATAAAATTGTAAATTTATTCAAACATTATTTAAAGATTTTTTGTGAGGTTTTTGTTAAGTCAAGTGCATGACTCTCAAGTATGAACTTTATGAATGACAATGTTGTTTTCCAAAGTAAAAAGGGTTAGCAGTCCTACATTCCTGAAAGTATTTAAGGATAAGGGGCTATACCTGGAATTGGGGTGCGTGCGTGTGTGTGTGTGTGTGTGTGTGTGTGTGTGTGTGCAAACATATGCACACATAAACATTCAGCCAGCCTTCCGTATCTTCAGCTCATTCTACATTTATGAATTTAATCATTCTCAGATTGGAAATCATTTTTTTTTTTTTTTGAGACAGGGTCTACCTGTAGCTCCAACTGGCCTGGAACTCACTATGCAAACCAAGCTGGCCTCCATCTCACAGAGATCCACCTGCCTCTGCCTCCTGAGTACTGGAATTAAAGGTCTATGCCATCACACCTAAAAAAATATTTTTTAAAACTGTGTTGGCACTGAGTATGTACAGATTTCTTATTCCCTACACAAGGCAATCTGACAACCACTTACATGGCATTTACGTGATTATTATGTATTATGTTATCTAGAGAGTATTTAAACTAGTACACAGGAGGATATATGTAGGGTACATGCAAATACCATACCATTTTACATAGGAGGCTTAGGCATCTGTGTGTTAGAGCATCTGAGAAGAGCCCTAGAACAATTCCTCCATGAACACCAAAGAATGATACACTATATATATGTGTGTGTGATATATATGCATAGATATTAACATGTATATGGATATATATTACAAATATATAGTGGGGGGAAGACAAATTGGATGATAAAGCAAATGAGATAAAATATTTACAACTAGTGAATATGAGTAAAGGTATTGGCTATTCCTTATGCTATTTTTATATTTGCAATTCTTCTCTAAATATGAATCATGGTGCCATATAAAAAGCTAAAACAGAAAGTTGTGAGGTACTGTTGTGGAATTTAATGAGATTTCATCTTGGGTTGGGACAGTGTTTCATAAATGCATGTGCCTGTACCTCTGCTGGAGAGACCCTTTGATCTAGAAGAAAGAGAAAGTTGATTGCACTTCCAAAGGGGCTCTGTCCAGCCTATCACAGGCAGAGATGTCCTCAGCACCTGTCTGAGGGTGACCTGCTCTCACGGGGCCTACTCAGTGCAAAAGTAGTGATAAACAGATCTTGGAAATTCAGAATAAGGTTGATTTAGTGTTAAATATACAGGTAAATTTTTTACACTCTGTTTAATGAAAGTACGTCTTTAGTTTTTCTCTTTTGATGTGCACTTAAATAATGTTCAGTCATCAAGAGTATAAGCTTTTTAATGGCAAAACTTATCAAGGTTCATAACCCCTCTTAAAAAGAAACCTTTCCACTTTTAATTATGGTAAAACACTGTGAAACAATTTTAGGTCACAGACATTTACAGAGAATTCTAATCATGAAAGCAGTGGGTGTTTTCCCTGCTCGCTTGGTGACTCTGAAAAAGACCCTTATGAGTCCCATCAATCAAGAAGGAAAATAATTTTGGCTCTCATTATAGCTATATGAAGGAAATGTTTTTATGTTTTAATTTAGAGAGATGACTCCAAATAGCAAAGGGCTCAGTTCATATCCTGAAACAAGGTTCTCCAGCCTTGCAGATCTGTACTGGGAATGGCTTATAGCTGACTTTCTAAACAGAAAGCTACATTATTAATGGCACTCCATAATACCTCAACTGAGCAGGAGTGGGGCTGGTGGCAAAATTAAAATAAAATATTAATAAAATTGACTTCAGCACAGTCAATAATCAGTAATCAAAACCAACTGCACTGCAGAGCAGGAGGCCTATTTAATTTGTAGTGTTACTCTGTGCACACATACACATCCCTGATCACCAGGGGCCACTTGAATTGCCTTACAGGGCTGAGGTAACAAGACTTAGCCATTACTAACAGGCTTTTTGCAGCTGCCAAAGAACTCGGGGTCAGAGATCGGGTCCATGAGGTATGATCGGATGATATTGGCCCGTAAACCTTTCGGCGCTTCGTTGGTCATTTTCACTCCATTCTGTAGCACTGACACAGGGAAATTTGGGGATGGATAACTTGTCAGCCAGATTCGGAAATCAGGATGTGTTGATTCAGGTCTTAACTCCTGCAAGAAAATAAATTTAAAAATGAATGCATAAATAATATTCAAGGAATCGTTTCAATATGTGTAAGGGGCTGGCTATCAGGAGGAGGAGGAGGAGACACTTTTACAAAACAAAGATGGAATTGTTGCAATTTTTAGCAAAAGCTCGAAATCCATTTTTGCCTTTGACTGAACACACTTCACTGAGAAGGCCCAGAGTATCATCACTCTCCTTGAGAAAATTAATTCATATGACTATAAGGCTTTCAAAAGTGCTGCACAGTTCAGAGTTGACCAAAAGAAAGACAAAGGTCTTCCAAAATATTCATGTCTACACTGAGGTTTCTGAAATATTTACAAAAACAATCCTCTGCCCAGAACTAGATTAAGACTAATCCTCTCTGCTAGCTGCAGCCAGGTTGTGAGAGTAAGCAAAGCACTCAGGTAAGTCAATATTATGCCAAGTTGGAATTATTTGTTTACATAAGAGAAGAGTATTTTAAAGAATATGAGGAACTGGTATATCCTAGAGCAGTACCACTTATCACCATGAGCTCTATTTGTACAGAGGGTCAGGACTGAGCTACAGACGTCATAGGACTCTCCATTAGTACTGCTACACAAGGCCTAGGAATAATTACTACAGGCCTGGTCTACTGCTTTAAACAGTATAGTTTACTCTCATCTTTGAGCCTCTGGAAAAAGGCTATTCTGGCACAATGGATGAATGCTTGCCCTAGCCAGGGTTGTTTGCTAAGACCTGACTGTATGCCTTCCTCTATTCCTTCAGCTAGATTCTCAGTGTGAACTCATCGCTCCTGTGAGCCACTGACAACATTAGCCCGTAGCCCTCCAATTAGAGAACAGGAAGAGAGGCACTTGGATGGCATGTGTATCAATACTCAAACTGAAGGAATACAATCTAATAAATGTGCATTAGCATTTTTACCTCACAAACTTTCTCAAGCGTTGGCATCCAAGAGGTGGCAAGGTGACAGTTCTGAAGAACGACCCATGTCCCTTCCTTGACAGCTTTTTCTAACATCTTCATAGCAATGGGCCCTTGGCCTTGGCCAAGAGATAAAGAACTAAGTTTTGATCCCCCATACCCCTGTGTACAAGAAACAAAGATGTTATTTAGCATCATATATTGTTTTGAATATACATAATCCTAACACACTCTAGACTAATAAACACTTAGATGAAATAAAGTCAGTTTATGTAGGAACAATGATGGTAATAAGAAAACTTAGTAGGCTCTTTGGTTGCTGAAATAAGAGACAGAAAATAAGAAGATCAAGAGGACGTTTAACATAGGAGGGTATGAAAGGAAACAGCCATCATGTAACAGCTGCTAAAGCACAAAGCTGCAAAGAAAAATAGGAATAGGCAGATGGACTTGTCCTATTTCCCAGAAAAAGGATATTTCAGTCACTTTGACTTCTGGCAAAATTAGGAGACTAAAAACATTCATCAATGACTCCCATTTAAAAAATTCTTTAAAGAATTTCAGGGGAATGCTTTCCTAGAATCTGGCTCCTGCCACCCACCTCATCTGTGCCCTTTGGATTTCTATCTTTGGAGGGTAGTTGTTACCAGACTTCCCAGAAGAGGCCCCCAGCGATGGGAGCACTGGAAAAATGGGCCTTGGGCTCTCTCTAACTACCTATGGCTTACAGTTACTAACACGCTGCAGGGGGGAGGGGGGAACCACTGAGGAAAAAGTAGAGCTAGCATCTGGAGACCATGCTTGAAGGAGACAGACACAAGGACAGGGAATAACAATGCGGCCTACGGTGGATGAGATGCAAAGGGGAAGCAGGAGGCATTCAAAGGCTGTCAAGGTAATGTTTTAGCCATCAAAAAGAGATGTCCATTTCTTTTTAGAATATACTGTTTCATACAGAAGATCTCATTTTTAATGCAATTAACACTTAGATGTTTGCACATGCATCTGTAATCTCTATATATCTGATTATTACTAGTCAAAGTTGGTTACTTTCTGAGCTCCTTGGCATCTGAGCATGGACATAAAGTCATCAGGTAGATTTCAATGGTAATGTTTTTCATTTCTACTAACTAACATGAAGCAAATCTTTATGCTTCTTCCTCAAATATAACTCATTTTTAAAATTTACTGATTTTTTTGTGTATTTCATACAGAACATCTCAAACAATCTTATTCATCTTTATACCCACATCCCAAGTGGCACCCTCCCACAGCCCCCCCCACCCCCACAACTGGAGCCCATATACTCTGTCATCCCCATTACTGTCCACTGTGTTATCAGTGCCCCCAGCCATTTCCCAGTGCTAGTCCATCTGCTGAGTCTAGTCAGCCTATCTAGAGTTCCTTGTTTTAGGAAGATCAGCTCTTCCTCACTTGGAGAGGTAAGCCCCACATATGGTTATACTTGGAGCCACCTCCACTCTTTGACTCTACACCTGTCATTGTGGATTTTACCCTATTTCCAATATACTCTGCCCCAGCTACTGGCCTGCTTTGAAGGTCACAGTCAAGTCAGTTCTTCATACTCTGACTGGGACAGCTTTATGAAGGAGTGCTCGTTACTTTGTTATTTAAAAGCTCTGCATCTCTAGTCATAACAAGCATGCCTCAACACTTCCCTAACAAGTAGTAAGCGCCATCAGGAGATCATAGGTATAAGAATTAAATTCATACACAAAACTGGCTATGAAATTATAAATTGGCCCAGCAGAGACTATTTTCATATCAAAGTTATACAGCTTTTTTATTGAGACAAACCCTGTAGTCACAGCTGGCCTGGAGCTCACTATGGCGACCAGACTGGCCTCGATCTCAAAGATATCCACCCACCTTTACCTCCCCAGTGCTGGGATTAAAGATGTGTGCCACCATGCTCTGTTTCAAAGCCATATAGCTTTTGAGAAGCTACCTCTCTATGCTTTAGTAGCCCTCACTGTGAAATGGAGATATCACTATTTACCTCATAGACTTCTGTAAAAATTAAAAGAGAAAGCAGGTAATAGTAAGATCTACTACCAAAGTTAACTATATGTTATGACCTCAAAATATCAGTGGGTTTTATTTTAGAAATCACAAGAGCATCATCACAAAAAGTTGTGATTATAGCAAAAGGGAGAGAAAGAAACTCAGAAATACCCAGTCACTGTTCATTATTTTCTTTCTAAACTGGGTGGTCTAAGAACATTTATAGTGAATTAACATGAATATTTTTAAAGTCTCTTAGAAATGTAGGTAATTAAATACAGTATAATTTGGCCAAATGGCTATAACATATAGCTGCTCTGGGAAGTCAGAGATCCTCTTTTAGAGGTGGGGAGGGAGGGGCAGGAACACAGAAGTATCACCTCAGGGCTCCTGCCCAGACTTGAACTTAGGTCAGCCCACTGACCTTAGGTCAGGTTCATGCACTGACATAAATGCTGTCACAAAAAAGGAAAATGCTCCTCATCCCAAAATTCTAGCTTTATAATTTGTATAAGATACTACTTTTAAGGTAAGTGCTGCCATTTAAGTATTATTTTCTTGGAAGTCTGTCAATTTCTGGAATCCTAAGCCCTCCCTAGGGTGAAGTGACAATTTTTTGCTTTCTCTCATCCTTTAAGACTTCAGGTAAGCAAAAAAAAAATTTTTTTTTTAATTTTTTTATAAAAAAAGCAATAACATCACATTGGCCTATCTGCTGTAAGGTACCTGATCATCAGCGAATTTCAGAAGGGCAGCCATGGGATCTGCTCCAGGAGAGAGCACAAAAATCAATGGTGCACAACAGTTACTGTCCCCAAATGCCTTGGACAGGTCAAAGGGGGGTGGCTCAACGAATGGGCGCCCCAATTTCTTGATTATGAATTCCTGCAACATTGGAATAACCTAGAAGGGACAAGAATACATTTGAAAGAATAGTCAAAATCTTCCTAAAGTCTTACTTTAGGAAGTTCAAACACAAAGGTGTTTTGAAACAAAGAAATAGCTGGGTGTGCCTATAATCCTATCAGTGAGGAATGTGAGGCAGGAAGATCACAAGTTTAAGGCCAGGGAACCACCAAATTCAAAGGCACTTAATTCCTTTTAATGAGTATTCAAGATGTATAGGTGAAGAAAATAAACCTTAACCCTTAAGTTTTGTTTTATTTTTTTTTTTTAGAAGTATTTCATCATAGCTTTAACATACTCAATAACAATTTGCAGAGCAAAGATATATCTCTTTCAAAAGTGGCTATAAAATTTTTAGGTTCAAAGTTGAACTAATACAGTTATACAATACTAAACTCAGTATAAACCCTGTAAGACATAAAATTGAATGAGTTTTTAACCTTTAAAAAAGATCTCCATTTCATTTTAAAATGTACTGTTTGTTACAGAAAGACTCATTGTTTTGCTAAGTCTTCATTAAAATGGCTTTTTAAGACTATTTTTAACTGAGGAGGGAGGAAGAAGGATTAGATAAGGAGAGAAAGAGAGGAGAGATAAATGTTTAGTTGGTGTGAAAAATGAGGGAAATGCATTAGTTCAAAAGTCTACTGAAAAAAACACACACAATATTTGAACAGAGTACATGCATGTATACAGTTGAAGGCTATATAACAAGAAACAGTGCTAGTCAGGAGAAACCTCCCTTAGAGTTGTTGGTCAGGGTAGTCCAAGAGACTTCCAAAATTACACAGGCTATTTCCACAACCCCTCATTATCTCCCAGAACTTGAAGGTAAGATCTTATTGCTCCAAGTCCTGTGTCTGAAATATGTCCTGTCTTCAGCAGTAGGGACTCACCTTCAAGTTCTGGCAGGACATACTTCAGACACAGGACTTGGAGTAATGGAGCTGGAACTGACCTGTAAGCCACCTCCCTGAAGACTAGCTCTCATAATTTTGGAGGATACTATACAAGCTACTAATGGAGAAAATCAATCAATGGTCCAACTCCAGCTTTAAAACCTAATAACTACAATGACCGACACAGCAAACTATACTGATGCAGTAGTGGCACTTTTATCTTGGGGGTAATCAACAGCTACCTAATTGGACTTAAAACCCACTCAATGGGAGGGAAATCACGTGTGGCACTGTACACATAGCCAAATACACATGGCTGGAGAGGTCATAGATCTAGAGAAAACCCCAAGGTCATCACACCCCAGGGCAAACATAATTTCTTACTGTATGCTAAATATGGATCCTTTTATTTACAGACAAGTATGTCAGTCACTATTCATCAAAGAAGCTCCTTTTACAACAAACAGAGACTATTACAGAGTTCCACAACTGGTCACACACAGAAATTAAGTGTCTGTCAGATGCTCAACCCTAAGTGACACATCTACAATGGAATCTCTATACCTAATATTCTTAGAACACAGTGGAACAGAGGGCAGAGAAAATAATAATGCATCTCTCAGCTCTCATCAGGGAAACTTCCCATGCAACAGAGGACAATGCAACAGAAGGCTACAAATGGCCAAAGCTTAGAGAATAAGAGCCAGCTGAGTGTGGGTCCCTGAACAGGACTCCTATATTAGACTTCACCCACCCAGGGCTCAGGAACCACTGTGGAAATGTAGGCAGAAAGACTGTAAGAGCCAGGGAGGAGATTCATGACCATAAGGAAACAGAGTCTTACAGGTTCCTGGGACCTTGTTCATATGAACTTACAGCAATTGTGACAGCATGCACAAGACCTATGCAAACTCAATCAGACCAAAACTAGCATAGTGTAGGAGGAAGTGCGGCCTGAACAACCAGCACATGCACGCTGCAAATGACCAAAAACATCCAGCTGAGGCAAACCTGTGTTCTGCTAAAAGACATAAAGACAGCTGGTGCGAAAATGGCCTGATACAGAGAGCCAATGAGGAACAGACACGACCTATCAATGGACCAATGGGACACGGGGAGAGGGGATATAAGGGAGCCCCATATCCGCAATAAACGAGTCTGCAGCTGCTCTCACTGCCTGTTTCTCACCTGACTCCCAGTGTCTGTGTCGTGACTCTGTGCCAACTCTCCCCCACCCAAGGGGTGCTCAAGGGTCCCCACAACAGCATAGAACTGGGGAAATGGGCAGGAAGCCACAACTTTGGTGAGGAACTGTTGGCAGCTGGTCACTGCTAGTAAGGGAGAGTTAATCTTCTTTAAGGGAGTGATGCTAGACAGGCTGAACAGGCTCCAGTGGGTGAACTCAAACCAAGGAACATTTAGGTTCACAAACTTGACCTCAATAGGCCTTAACATATATGACAAAATGCATGAAGTCCTGTGGGTGGGCTATGGGGAGGGTGCAGATAGGGAAGGGGGCCTAAATATGATTAAGATGTATTGTATGAAATCCACAATAATTCAATAAAAATATATTTTAAAAAATTTATTTTTAATTTCACATCCACTTGCCTTTTTAGAAATTTCCTTTCCCTTTAATAACAAGTTATAGCTACAATGTGCATGGATAACATAATGAAAACCATTTATTTAATTGTTGAACTTCAATTTATCTCCTAAGTAATAACTACTAAACGTACATTTTTTTGGTCTTTTTGAGACAGGGTCTCCCTGTAGACTCAGCTGGCCTGGAACTTGCTATGTAGACCAGGCTGGCCTTGAACTCACAGAGCTCCACCTGCCTCTGCCTCCCAAGTGCTGAGATTAAAGGCATGAGCCACCATGCCCTGCTCCAAAAGTACTTTTAACCCTGCTCTGGAATATATGTGTCTGTTAAAAAATTTGAGTCACAACACTTGCTATTCATTTCCTCATCTTAATCTTATGAGGGATTCAGACCCCCCACATAGAACACCATGAGTGCTTCCTTAAAAGTTTAACTGTTCTGGTAGATAAAGGGCTATCAAAACACACCAACTGTTGAAAGGAACAAGAGCTACTTCAGAGAAAGTAATTTTGAAGGCCTTGGAGTCAAGCAAGCTGAATGACTGCTAATACACAAGAATGGAAATACACATAAGCACAATATCCCAAACTGCAGCAAGTCCATGTGCCTGAAACTTTCCTCAACTTGGAGCCAACTGCAGAAACAATTTACAAGTGCCAAGGGTCTCAAAATGATAGTACCCCCTAAAAATCTTACAAGTGTCCCCAAACTTCAGTTGTGTGTTTTCTGCACATCTATTTGTACAAGATTTGTTAGTAAAGATCATCAGTGTGTCACAATGCTTTTTAAAAGTCAAGCCTCTGGGGCTGAGAAGATGGCTCAGCAGTTAAGAGCATTGGCTGCTCTTGCAGAAGACCTGAGTTCAAACTCCAGAACCCACATGGTGGCTAACAACCATCTGTAACTCCAGTTCTGGAGGATCTGACACCCTCTTCTGACCTCCATGGGAATTGTACAACACAAGTGCACTTACATACATTCAGGCAATACACTCATATACATAAATAATAAATAATAATAAATAAAAGTCAAGCTTGTGTGTTCTTGCACATGTGTGTAGCTGGGGATGTTTGAGAACAAGTGGTGGAATATCCACATTCAAATTAGGCTTTTTACTACATATTTATTTGGTATGGAGTGTGTATGTGCAACTGCCACGTTGAGTGTATAGGTCAAAGCACAACTTGTAGGAGTCAGTTCTCTCCTTCCACATTACTGGTCCTGGGGATCAAACTTACACCATCAGGATTAGAGGCATGCATCTTTACCTACTGAGTCTTCTTGCTAATCCAAATTAGATTTTTTAATGTCTCCTTAATACTTTCTTAGACTCATACAAATATGGAAGAGGTATGGGAAAATAAAACCACATTTAAAGTGCTGTGATAAAGCAGATATGGTGATACATACCTATTCAAACCATTTGAGAGGATGAAGCAAGAACATCTTGAGCTCGAGGCCAGCCTGGACTACATAATGAGACCTTGTCTCATAAACAAATAACAAAAGTGTTATGCTAGCAAGTACCTATCTAACAAGCTGACATGTTGTTAACACATACTCAATATCTATTGAATGAACACATGTAAAAGCTCAGTTAAGATGCCACACTGTCATGAGCATGAGAGTCTAATTCCAGACATTCTAAAATTTAAAAAAAACAAAGAATAAATTTATTTATATACATATTTTATTTCTAGATAATTTCTTCATGCCTCAGATATTTTGAATTATCACAAATGTCAACATACTTCAGAAATATTAAAAATCTCCTAATTGCCTATTCTCAACCTTACTCTTGCCTTTCCCTTTATTACTCTTTTCCAAGATGGATATTTTTCTCACTAGATTAAAAACAACAACAACAAAAGAAAACTAAACGATAGCGTCTTCCCTCCAAAGGTAACCTCTTCTCAAAATTCTAGTTTTACAAACACAATGACAAACAAGCACATGAACTTGATATGAACCATTTTACTTTGGAGTAGGTTGTGCTGGGAATCCCTGAGCTTCTGAAAACAGTTCAAGCTGGTGTCTGCCGCTATGCCCAGGTAAACACGGCTGGCTGGCCCAGTGATTCTTTTGTCTATCAGCACTGGATGATCAAGTTAGGGGTGTGTATCTCACCTGACAGCAGTGACAAATTATACAGTTGTACTTCCAATGTTACGAGTAACCAAACTTGCTTGTTTCCCAGCACGAGACTGAAACTCCCAAGGAAAAGGAAGCTATGATGGCAATTTGGTTTGCAGGGTGACAGGATTGATCTGCTTCTGCAATCTGATTATGCCAGCATTAGGTTTGTAAAATGAAACCTGTCAGTAGCAAAAATTACAGACTAATTTAGGCAGCCATCTTCTCAAAGGCAAGAAAGGAACTCCTGGTTCTTTTATATATGCTTTTCCATCCATTGCAACTTCCTACAGGATATCTGAGGTCAGAGAAACAAATTATCTTACATCTGACAAGTTTCTTATCGAAAGCTGATGGATTTTCTTTTTGTTTACTATTCAAAAGGGTAGAATGTGGCTAAAAGCTCTTCATTTTATAAATGGGCTCCAAATAGTCCACATCTCAGTATTTTTCCATTTGATATATCTATTCTGTCAACAAGATACTATAAAGTATTTAAGTGTAAAGGCCAGTGCAAGCCCACCTCATTTTCCTGCTAGTGACTTAGTAAGACTCTTTCCCGTTGTTCCACACTGAAGCCCTGGCAAGCCTGCCATGTGTGGCTTCTGGTCACTGAATAATGGCCATGTTTCAAGAGGAGTAAAGTGTAAAGGGATCCATGACCCTTTGCCCAAAAAAGAACCTTGCTAATTTTCCTGGTAGGTGTATACATTTTCTCTTAACTTAGAGACAGCAAAAAGAATAAAATATTCACCATTAGCTCAAATATTAGCCCCTATGGGACTGTTCCTCTCCCTGGTTGGTTAATAACATTCCACTTTGGAAAACCACCCTTTTAAATGCATACTAGCCAAATATCATTATATAGTATATAGTTTTCAAAATCATCAATTAATCATTAAAACTTGGACTATTTGGAAATACTAAGTATAAAGAGCATGAAGTTTCTGGATAATGCAAAAGTAGCTAATAATTATTTTTGCATTAAATACATGGGTGTGTTGATATAGATAATGGTAACCAATTAATATATGACTTAGACTGACTTAAACTGTAGTTGCAAACAATTTCCAAATTGTAGTGGCTAAACATGATAAGAGCTTATTTCTTGACCCTACAGAGTTATCAGTGTATGTAGGCAACTCCATGTGTTAATTCCACAACCAAGCCTCTTAATGACACTTAAGCATCAACACATGACTCTACAGTTTCAATGACAGGGAAGCGTCTTGGAGAATCTCACACTGGCAATTAAATGTTCACATTTCACTGGCCAAGTCAGGTCTGTAGCCACAATGTCTTCACTTTAAGTGTACACTGAAGGAGAAGAGAATCGGGGATATCGGTTATCATTTTATAACTTAATAGTCAAGAAAAATGGTAAATTTCTAGAGATTTTTGAATGTGTATGGAAAAGTTATAAGAAAGAAGGCTAAAGTATGGGGCAGAGCAGTATGACATAATAAGTTTAAGCACTGATTTATAAACAAACAGAAAAACATGTCAGCCCAAAGGAAATAAAACCCACAAACACCTCCGCTTGAATATGTTCCTCCCCTCTTCCCCAAAAGTACTTCAAAAAGAGAATATTTGATCTGTTTGACAGCTTGATCTGCTTTCAGATTAAAGCATCAAGTTTTGAAAACATCCAGGAAAAGATATTTGTAGATGAAGTTACCACAAGCAGGAAACGGCTCATTATCCACTTTTCACGACAAGGATGGAGGCTATTCAGTAAACATTTCATGCATTTCACTTTCTCCATCTTTAAGCTTGAAGTGAACTTCTGAGGCTTGCATGAAAAAAAATCTATTATATTTTATTTATTATTTTTAATTTATGTGTACGAGTGTATTGCCTGCATGTATGTGAGTGCACTCGTGTCATGCAATGCTGCAGATGTCAGAAGAGGGCTTCGGATTCCCCTGGAACTGGAGTTAAGGACGGTTCATAGCTGCCCTGTGGGTGCTGGGAATTGAACCCGGGTCATCAGCAAGAGCAGTCAGTGCTCTTAACCTCTGAGCCATCTCTCCAGCCCTCAAAAAATATATATTTTAAATGCCATCAAAAGGGAAAAATATCTGATCAGATTAACAAATACCAAGCAAGTGTTCATCTACCTCAGCCCCTGAGAGAAGGGCAGAAATGTGACTTTAGCAGGCCATAGACATATTGTGGGCTCTTCCTCTACTAAAAAAAATGTTTAAAATTATGTTTTGAAATTGTTTTGGGTAAAGATAAATACAATCTGGACTATGCTCTTCTGATTTAAGAAAAAAGTAAAACACATTCACAGACCTCTGTGCCTAAGATATTTGAGCCCTGGCTAAGCTGTGCAAGGCATGTTCATTGAGCAGGCTGTGACTCAGAGGGAGAAATGCCCCCACCCCAGATTATCACTGGTGTATATGAAAACAATTTCACATATTACTTTCACCATTTAAGTATCTTTTAAAGCTCAAATTGTAAATAATGTAAGTTCTGAAATAATTATGCAAAATTGCAACTCAAGTAATAACAACTAACATTTCTATTGCTTACATTATTTAGAATATATTGATATCTCTGAGGATATGGGTCAACCTACTTAGATGAATTTATTCTATATAGACTATAATAGAAATGAAGCTATCAGTAAGTATTGAATTTTACTGACAAGTCTGCAGATTTGGCTGGTTATATATTTATTATTTAAAGAAGTTAAAACAACAGTGCTGATATTTTCCTTTGTGTCAATGATGATTAAAATCTTAAAAATATCCCACTTATTTTCTAAAGGCTGAATATATGTGTGTGTGTTTGTATGTGTGCATGCAAATGCCTGTGTCTATAGGCATACACACACACACATATATACATATACACACAAATATATATGTATATGCATACATATTTAGAGAAAGACCACTCTAGAAATTCTACTATAACAACATGGGGTTAATGCTATTGACTAGTTTCACAAAGTAATAAAATAAGATGAAAATAAACTACAGCATATAAAAATGAAGATTGTGAGGTATGAACCATAAATCATAAAGAACAGTCATAAAATAAATAAAACTAAAACATAATCTGATTAGCTATTAATTTGGATGGATTAAATAAACTTAGACACATTTTAGGAAATGCATTGAAAGAAAGTGGGACTCTTTCGGCAGATTCCTCTGCCTACCTCATGATTGTAGGAAGAAAGGCAAGTTTGGCTGGGTGTGCAGAGAGGGGACAGGAATCAGAGATGCTCTCAAAGCCTACATTTACCTTGTCTGGCCTCAAGCAACGAATGATAAGCATCCTTTGAAAGTCATTTGCTTTATTCTCCCATTCTTCAGGGAACATCTCATGATGTGGCTCCTAAAATTTAGTGCATATAAGTCAATGTTAGAGATTATTTCTGAAAAGAGTAGTATTTGACATATAATCAGATTTTTAGAGAAGACATATAATACCTGAAATCAAGACTATTTATATAAATTTCATTTTATTTAATCTGGAGAAAAAATAATGTCAACATGTGCACCTTTGAAACCTCAGAGCAAGGTATGTGATGTCTCTAATCTGAAATCTCCAAAGCTAAACACAGTGCATACAATTTAAATTTTTAATTAGAAATAAGCACTCACAAAATGGTATTTGTTGCTAGGAAACATTTTCATCAGCAGCAAGGAGAAATCCAAAGCAAACCCAGGCCAAGCAAGTGGATTCAATCTCACCACCATGCACGATAGGCAACCAAATAAAACACTGGTAAACCCGCTGCCAGTCCCCAAGACTGTCATCTATCTAACGCTCTTTTCTTCCAACTGCTCCTATATAGAGTGCTTGCAAATTATATTAAGGATAGTAAAAATCCTAAGAGTAGAAACAAAGGAAGGAAAATCATAACTGGGAACTGGAAAAATATTAACCTTTGTGCCAAAGTAAAGCTGAAGCAACGTTATCTATCTCAAAAGGGAAATTGATGTCATGACATGTTGATTTATATAGTCTCAAGTTAGAAAGTCAAGGTTTCATGAGCACTGATTTGAACTTCTAGCTCTTCCCTTTCCTCCAATGATAAAAGTATTTATTGGCCTATATTCTAAATTTAGAAAATATAAGCAGTTGTTTGATAAAATTTTAATTCATCTCCTATAGTGATTGTCTAGTTTACAATGAATAAAGACTTGTTAAGGAAATTCAGCAAATCAGTGTCAATTAAAGACCAAAGTGTGAATCTTCATATACTGCAAGGAGTTTAGATGACATTGGAAATAGAGTCATTGTCTTAAAAGGTGGGAATAATATAAAACAAAATTTGTGGGGTTTTTGTTTTGAGACAAAGTCTTCATATAGTCCCAGCTGGCCTGGAACTTGCTATGTATGCCAGGTTGTCTTCAGTCTCACAGACATCTGCCTACCTCTGCCTCCTGAGTGCTGAGATTAAAGGTGTGTGCCACTACACTGGCAGCCAGCACACCTAGCACTTAAAGTTCTTAAAAACTTGCTTTTATGCAAAACTAAAGATGCACTATTAACATTATTTGGGAATAGGGGCTGGAGAGATGGCTCAGTGGTTAAGAGTACTGACTGCTCTTGCAGAGGACCTGGGTTTGATTCCAAGCACCCACATGGTGGCTACAAACTGTCCTTAACTCCAGTTCCAGAGGAATCTGAAGCCCTCTTCTGGACTCTGCAGCATTGCACGACACGGGTGCACTCACATATATGCAGGCAATACACTCAGACACATAAAATAAAAATAATAAAATATTTTTGAAAAGTTGGGAATAAGATAGACAGTTGAAACATACCAAACTATCATATACTTTTTTCCACCCATCCTTTAAGCGCATAAACTCCCTACGAATGGTCTTGAAGGTAGGTATGTCATCTAGCCGGCAGATCTCATCCCAGGACTTTTGAGGAAGCCATGTGCAAGGGTTAGTATGAGGATTATCCAGACCAATGCCACCAGTGAGCAGAAATCTCCACTCATTTTTGTTAATCTGTGGGGGAAAAGAACACCATAGGAGTCAGGAATGAATTCTTTTTAAACTTGTTAGTTTATAGCCATTGTTGAAGAGTCAAGTGTGATTCGGTTATGGGCCTTATGAAATTCTGTAGCTGACAGTCTACTATTTAGTCATAAAAAACCCATGTATCCAATGTAACCAGGGTTTTACAAAATAGTTTCATTTTTTTGAATTTTGCTGGACTGAGACTGAAGACGTGTGACAACTTAAGGCAACAAATGGAGCTGCCTTAAATTATTTTGGTAAGACAGACACTATTAGAGCAATTGGTGAAATGTGAATGGAGTCACTGAGTTGATGGATATATAGGATTCTTTCAACTGTTCTTGCAACTTTCCTGTAATTTTCACATTGTTTCCAAAATGTAAAAAATCTTATTGGTACAATTGTAATACTTTCATAGACTTCCAATTTGGTTTTTGGTATAAGCTGAAAAGCTGTAGAAAGTTTGAAAGTCGAGGTTTTGCTTATTTATTAAAGGGTCTCACTATGTAAGTCAGGCTGGGCTCAAGCTCATGTCCTCCTGCCTCCACCTCCTAAGTGCTGAAATTACAGGCACACATCCCCATACTTAACTAATGCCACTATTTCTAATAAAGTAGCTGATGCTAAAGATCCTAATTAAAAAAAATAGTTCCATTTTTGATAGTTTCCTTTGAGAATTACTAGCTTCAACCTAAGGATCTGAGTATGCTCTACTTGAGCATGTCTTTTTCTCAAAACATTTGCTTATATTTCCAACTATTATCTCTAAAAATTGTAGAAAGTGAGAGAAACATCAATTTGCTGTGCTTTCAATTATTTTCCATAAAATATGAGTTACTATGAAACTTTTATAAGAAATGCAAAGAAAACTATTTTTCTTCAATAAATTATCATATGAAATAAAAGCTTAAATACATATATATAAAACAGTGACTTTGTATAATACTTCATCCATTTGTAAAGTACTTCCTATATTTTTAATGAATAGCAATTTATGCAAGATATGGTTAAAGCCAAATGATTAGATTTAAATAACTTGTAGAAGTTCTTAAAAATATTAGAATAGATTTTTATTAGTAAGTTTGTATGCATGGTTATATGAGATTTTAACAGAAACATTTTTTTTGACACAGGGTCTTTCTATATAGTCCAGGTTGTCCTCAAATACACTATGCAGTCTAAGCTAGCTTCAAGATAATAATCCTCCTGCCCCAGCTTCCTAAGTGCTGGGATTACAAGTGTTCACTAACTACTACACCATGCTCTAGAAACAGATTTCAAACATAGAAGTTTAAGGGAAGTTTAAGTACAAACTCTGTACTTAATTTACATTTTTACTTTTTGTGAAGTTCTGTCCTGTAATGTCTTTCTTAGTTAATTAGTTTCACTGTTTATAACTATAATCTCTCTCTCTCTCTCTCTCTCTCTCTCCTCTCTCTCTCCCCTTTCCTCTCCTCTCTCTCCTCTCTCCTCTCTCTCCTCTCTCTTCTCTCCTCTCTCTCCTCTCTCCTCTCCTT